GTATTCATAACTTTTATCAACTTTTTAATTACAAAATACTGGGACTCGTCCACTTATAATTTCATAAAACTTAGTCAAACGAGGGCGAATTAAGATTTTCTAATTTTTCAGGCCGATAAATGTTGGATCACGATGGACATCGACAGGAATGGGACGTGAAGATTACCAACGACAACAGATTACACCACTATTTTCAGACCATCAGCCCATGTTCGATACTGATAACAACTTTGTCGACAACATCCGAACCAACCCTACTGAATTTAGTCGAAGAAATTCGTCTCCCAAGACTATTAGTCTTGAACCAGTATGGGATGGCATCATGAGATTTTCTTTAGATGATTTAGAACTCAAGTCACCATCATCTGCAGTCTCTTCAATTTGCCAATTAGATCAACAGAATATTGCATGTGAAATTGAGGATCAAAAATTGCAACTGAATGGCATAGAACTAGAAGAAGATGAAATTATGAGTTCTTATGTTATCGAAATCAATACTAACCATAGGGAAGCAAAATTTGAAGCCATTGGTGTGGATGAAGCAATTGAATGGACAAAAGAGAAGTTTCGAACACATCGTCCAGAGAATGAATGGAGCACCAAAGAACACGAGAAAGAGAAGTCAAAAGGAGGAGTAGAGGTAAACTAGCTATCATTATCGTTAAGAGTTTTGCTTGGTGTACAGGGAAGGGGTACATAGAACCCCTCTAAAATACACACAATAGAGAGGGTGGTTGGTATTTTTTAGCAATATTTTACACATGGGGTGGGCCCATGTGAGTATTCTGGAGGGGTTCTGTGAATCCATCCCCCGTACACCAACATTATTCCTATCGTTAATAAGTTAGGGTCGATTATGTGAATTCTTGCAGAATTGAGTGTCTCTTTCCAAAATGTCACGGTAAGACATGTTCGATTTTTATCTTGAACCATATTTTTGCCTTTTGCTCATTTGCAGGGCGATCTCCACGGGCAAGACTTCACTCAACAAAAGGATAAATGGCCTGCAGTAGAAACAGAACAACTAGCAAGCAAGGTCAGTTCTTGACAAATTTACTATTGAAGTTTGAATCAATTCCTGTTTTCTGATGCCTCTTTTTTCCCCCATAATACTATGAAAAACAGTTGGAACTACAAATAATGGACGAAAAATTAAGGTTGTGGGCGACCGGAAAGGAAACTGACATCCGGTTATTGCTTTCAACACTGCATCATGTAAGATCAAATTGAACTAGGATCATTTCTTATAAGATCAGCTGATATACACAAAATGTAATTTTTTCTTCGTTACCGAATCAGATTCTATGGCCTAATAGTGGCTGGTTCGCGATCTCTCTGATGAATCTAGTCGAAAGTTCACAAGTGAAGAAGGCTTATCAGAAAGCCCAGTCGTGCTTGCACCTCGACAAGCTGCAGCAAAAGGGCACCTCGTTCCCTCGGAAATATATCGCAGAGAAGGCATTTTCAGTACTTCAGGTTAGTTTAGTCTGCAGGATTTTAGAAGATCATTGCAAAAATTTTACTTCAATTGGCTTATAGGATTTTGCTAAAATTGTAGGATGCTTGGGTTGCATTCACCTCACAATGTCTGTCGTCGTCGTCGAAGAATTACTGATGTAGCCTTTATATGCAAGGTTGTGACTCTTTAAGTGTGTTATTTTTGAACACGTCCACAATGTAAATAGTTCATCCACTGATTCAATGCTCCCAACGAATTATAGATAAATAATGATTTAATTGATTTGAAAACAAAAATCCTTTTTAACGATGTTGAGCGAAGAGCACCTTCATTCCTATATAAATATAAAATAGCGGATGTATCTCCGTTTCCAGAGTAGGGTCTGCAGCTCAAATTAAAGTTATGAAACAAGTAGCTGGTAAATTAAAATTGGAACTGGCGCAATAAGGCATTTACTTTTGTTGTTTTGGATATCCAATAACAAGGCGCGGGTGGACAGTTTTTGATGCATTTTCAAAGTAAACCATTTAGAACGGTTTGGAAAAATACCGAACTTTTTTTGCAGTTCGGTTCGATTTCAAACTATGTTTCACCTAGCAGCAAAAAAGTAACGACTTCCAAATAATTTGAGACATAAATGTGTTAAGTCTAAAATATCGATATAATGCTTAAATTTGAACTTTCTAAACATAGATGTTACAATACATTTTAAAAATGTAAAAGATGTTATCCCTATTGAACTAAAAAGCTATTTACATTCATTTTAACATTTAAATCAATTTCTAGAAATTCACAAAAAATTAATCGATATGAAACTTGGCGCTTAATGTATCAAAATGAGAGATGAAGAACTGTGAGGAGTACAAAAATGCACTGAAGGAGCCTTCGTGATTTGAAGATAAGTTTATTGTTAACAAATCAACTTAGATCAAAGAATATAGTTTTGATTAATTTATAGCATTTTCCTTATAAAGTACTTTTTTTTTTTTTTTTTGGTTTTTTCTTTTTTGAAACATAAAGAATTTGACTCGTGGAGAAAATTTGTTTGAATTTGTGGAATTCACTTATCATGGATGATTATTTTAATTAAAACTAGACCAAATTCAATCGTTACACATTTGAAGAAATTATAGTTAATTAAAAATTTCATAGAAATTGTGAACAAGCTATTTAATATGCCATCTTATCTATATTTAATCTTACTTTAGTAACATAATTTTAATTTTATTTTCTATAATAAGGTAAATGATTTCAGTTCAAATGATTTTTTTTACTTTTGAAACGTAAACCAAATCGTTTCAAAACGATTTGATACAGTTTGAAATTGAAACATTGATGAGTCCACTTGAACGACCACAATTTTGGGACTATAATAGCTCCTCGGAGCTTCGGCAACTGAAAACGGCTTGAGAAAGTGATTAAAAAGTTGGTGGCTAGGGATAAGCTTCAACCTTTTGGGGTCAAAATGAAAGAATTACGTTTGGCGGCCCTGAGTATAGGCGAAGTAGGTGATCGTCTAAGACCTCGCTTTGGTGAGGGCTCCAAATTATGAAACTTTTTCTTCCAAACATTCATTTTCCTTTTTTAACCAAACAAAAGGTCTATTTGTCTATTCGAATTCCATGTCCAACAATCGCCTACCATCATTTTTTCAAGCAAACAAAATATAAATTATCTCCCTTTGAATTAAAATTTTGAAAATTCAATGCAGTTTGGTTTTTGGTTTGATTTCGCTGCCATTATTACAACCTTATATGTTTCTTTCTTTCTCTATTATTTTCAAAACATTTACTACAGAGTACATAGATTGTTATTATATTGTTTTGTTTTAATCTCATTATAATAATATTTTTAGATATTTGCTGAAAGTACTTTGAATTCAATAATTCTTTATCCTTGTTCATACATATACTTCTTATTTTTAAGTTAATTTCTTATAAATTAATATAAAATTAGAATTTCGTTTGTATTTGATATCATTTTTCATTATTTTGTTATACTATCTTTTACAGTCACATTCTCCAATTTTGTACATAAATGACTCAAATGTATATTCAATTTTATTTGAAATAATTGCAGTGAGAAAATAATCATGCACATGAACATACCTCTTTGCCATTGCATTGTAATTCTGTTTGCCAAACTTTATTGTAATTTGTATTGCTGGTTGAAATTTGACATTTGTTAATTTTTTCTTCAAATTTTGGAGCTTAGTTATCCGTATTAGATTCTTTATAATTATATTAAGCACATGTTTTATATCGATTAAAATTCAGATTTTAATCTAAATCAAAATAAATAATTAATTTTTATTACATATTTTATGGGTTCCACAACTTTAAATTCACATATTTTATCTACTTCTATCAAAATGAACTAAAAATTTGATTTTAGGGGTTGTTTGAGCTCAATTTTTCTCAAAAAAAAAAAAATCTATTTTGAAATAGTGTTACGGTAGAGAATGTGTAGTTAAAAAATAAGGAAAAATTTTGAGTTGCGTTTAGTATTATTTTATTGAGAAATGTGTGAACGAAATCGTGTGAAATCAAAGTTGAAGAGTGTATTTTGGTAAAAAAAAAAATGGGACTCAAACAAGGGGCTAAAACTCTATACAAGGAAACTCAAAATATAGGGCTCCAATTTGAAATTGGTGTGAGGCCCCCAAAATATCAAGGCCGACCTGTACAGGGAGACTCAAATATAGGGCCTCAATTTGAAATTGGCATAAAGTCCCAAAATATCAGGGTTGGCCCTGACGTTAGACTCTCTTTTATCATACAATGAAAGTCACATTATGCCGCTGTTTATTATATAGATTAAAAGTTTGTTTGAGACCCATTTTTTTGAGTAGAATGCATATTGAAATAGTAAATTGATAGAGAATATATGGTTAAAAAATAAGGAAAAATTTTAAATTTATGTATAATATTATTTTATTGAATAATGTGTACTTAAAACCAAAAGAGAAAATATATTTTTAAAAATAAAAGGGATCAAACAAGTCCATGCCGATGTGACAACATGTAATATATATATCTTCTTTTTTTTAACTTTATCCTCCATCGTTGATGTGACGACAACACATATTACCACATCAACAATGGGTAATATAACCTCTTCTGTAGCATGGACAAAAGATCAATTCTGTAGATTAACTTCTAATTTTAATTTCAATTTAAAATGAACAATTAATTTTATTCACATTTTACGAGAACTTAACTTTTCGACCATACATTTTAATCAACCATCAAAATATACTAAAAGTCTAATTTTAATAAGCACCAAAGAGGGGACTATATCTATTTTGTCACAAGGAATAAAGATAAAAAATGGTAAAGTTGTTCGAACAAGGGGCAATGTGGCGCCTTGCTATCCCGTTGGCCCTGTCAGTCTAGCATTGCCCTAAAAGATGCATGTTGTGACTAATTGCTCGCGGCATTGTATGCAAATAATTATTGCAATGTTAATAATAATTCGTGCAAATTAAAACCTATAATAAAGATTGCAGAAAAAAATTACTTTGAAACAAATTCAACCAGTGTGACCTATAACATATTGAGTTTTATTTTATGAAATAACAATTATCAATTACTAAACAATAGAATTTAATTTATCCTCCTTAATCAAGAAACATAAAAGAAAAAAATGAAAAAGAAAAGGGAAACAATGTTTCTGCAAAAAGAGCACAACTCAAAACGAGCACAGGTACGAGTATGGATTGAGATTTGTCTCTTTTCTCATGATAAATGGTAAGAGGAACAAAAATGTTTTCTTTTTCCTATTCCTGTTACTGTTTGTCAACCCGAGCTTTCACCGCAAGTCTTACTTTGTTCTAGTAATAATTCTTTGCGGTAATTCTACAAGTGCCCGTCTTGATTCTTGGACACTATCATCGTCATTCTTGGGAAGTGAATCAATTGCAGACGAGGCAAGGTTAGCACGCTTTATCGCTAGCTCCCTCGTTCTCTGTATTCCGCGACTCTTTCCCAGGTATTCCAGTGCCTGTATATCAGTTATAAATCACTTAAAAAATGAAGAAGCCAATTTGCCTTGTGCCTATAGTTAAAGGAGGGGAGGAGACGAGAAATCTACATGACCAACCCTGTAGTTTCAGCATAAGGCTTAGGTATCCAGAAAACTTACAAGATCCACATTCGCAGGATTGTCAAATCCACGATCAACAACAGCCCGGAGCTCAGGAAACTCCTCCATAGCGAACAATATTGGAGCAGTAATAATGCCCTGAAAAAAATAATTATATTATCAACAAATTATTGCTAAATCAAGTGAGGGTGTTACTGCATGAAAATGACTAATAATACTCATTGGATATACAGCATCTACTTTATCTACATTTGAGAATTTAAGATTCTGATATAACAATATAGAAATGTCAGGAAGGGTACATGGTGAATGTCGGACAAAGATCCCTTCCCGAGTGAAGTTGTTGTGCCAGTGAAATCAAGAATGTCATCTATTAATTGATACGC